TATATATATATATATATATATATATAACAGAGTTGCTCTCTGTCCCCAGTTCCTGGCACAGAGTTTGTAAAACCCTTGTAATTTCCTAAGTGGTAACACTTTTGTGTTAGGAGCATCTTTTGTTCTAATATTTGGTCTTTGACCCCAGTTCCTGACAGAGCTCCTAAATCCCTTGAGACTTCCTGGGTGATAGGATTGTTTTTTATTCCAATGAGGTGATGTTTGGTGGGCTCTTGGATGGAGCTGGTCACTAGAAAGACTAAACTATGATTAGAAGCTTAGAACTTTCCGCTCCACCTTCCTTCTGGAAAGGGAGAAGCGTAGAGATTAAGTTAATAATCGATCATGCCTACATGATGACGCCAGGATTCAGAGAGCTTCCAGACTGGTACACACATTTATGTGCTTAGAGCACCCTGCCTTTATTGAGACAGAAGCTCCTGTGCTTAAACCCTTCCAGACTTCTCCCCATATATCTCTTCTTCTGGTTATTTATCTGTATCCTTTATTATATAATAAACTGGTAAACATAAGTGTTTCCTGGAGTTCTGTGAGTTGTTCTAGTAAATGATTAAACCTGAGGAGGGGTCATGGGAACCTCTGATTTATAGCTGGTTGGTCAGAAGTACAAATGACAAGTTGGACTTTTATGCTGGCATCTGAGATGAAGAGGTGGGGAGGACAGTCTGGTGAGGCTGAATGCTTAGCCTTTGGGGTCTGTGCCAATTCTAACTCCAGTTAGTGTCAGAATTGAATTGAATTATAGGACACCCAGCTAGTGTCTTGAGAATTGCTTGGTGTAAGGAAAGAAGAATGCCACATACATTTAGTGACAGATGTGTCAGAGGTGAAGTAGTGAGGCAAGAGGAGACAACATAGGAGTGTGTTTCCTAGATAGCCTCTATGACACCTGGTTTTCGTCTTCCTCATAGTCCATTCTTTCTCAGTTTCTTTTGATAGTTCTTACTCTGTTTGATATGTAAATGTTGAAGTGCCTCAGGATTTGGTCCTGGGACCTCATTTCTTCTCTGTCTCTGCAGTTTGCCTAAATTACATAACCAAGTACCATAGCAGTCCTAGTGACGCCTAAATCTGTGTCTAGCCCGGTCTTTAATAAATCTAGGTTCTAGTCTGTCTCTGGAATGCTATTTTCATATATCCAGCTGTACTTTATATGTCTGTTTGGATATGGATATCACATTTCAACTTTACAAAATTCCTTCCTTTTCCTTACCTACTCCCCCCCAAATGCTCCCTGTCTTCCTTACCTAAGCAAACATTACCAAGCAGTTCCTCAAATCAGAAATCTGTTGCCCTTGATACTGCCTCACTTCATCCGGTTCATCAGTAAGTTTAATAAATGCCACCTGTACAGTATGTCCCAAATCCTTCAGTCTCCTATCATCTCAGAATCATCTCTCAAGTAGAATTCTGTAACAGCCTCCAACAGTCTCTGTTTTCATTTTTGCCTTTCTCCTCTAATCCAGTCTGGCTTAGAAACTGAAATCATCTTTTAAACACTTAGATTGTCTCTCCCTTATTTAAAACCCTTCATTTAAAACCTTCCCATTGTACTTTTGAATAGAATCCAGATTTCCTAACCCTGGCTTAACCTGACCTGAATACTGCTTATCACTCTTAACATTGATCATGTTATTCTTTTTTGCCCATTGTGTTGCAACTTTATATTGGCTTTTTGTCAGATCCTTAAATAAGTAAAATTTGTTAACCACTTCAGGATCTTTGCACTAGCTGTTCTTTCTGCTTGGAATACAACCCCCCCCCCCCCCCCCCCCCCCCCCCCCCCCCCCCGATCCTTTCATGATTGGGTACTTTTTGCATTCAGTTGTTAGAATAAATGTTACTTCATGGAGAACTTCTTTGACATTCAAATTAAAATAGCAATTAGATTACATTATATCCTATATCACTACGTTTATCCTATATCATTACTTTATCCTGTATTTTCATTGTATCACACTTTTCACTATCTGATATTTTCTTGTTTCATGTATATGTTTCTAAAAAAAATTTTTTTTCAACGTTTTTTTATTTATTTTTGGGACAGAGAGGGAGAACCCAGGCATGAGCAGGGAGGGGCAGAGAGAGAGGGAGACACAGAATGGGAAACAGGCTCCAGGCTCATTGTCAGCCAGGAGCCCTGTGGCGAGGAACTCAGAACTCCACCAGGACCACAAGATCATGACCTGGCTGAAGTCAGGACTCAACCCAGGCTAAGCCACCAGAAGCAGCCCATCATGTATATGTTTCTAACTATTTCTCCACTTTGGTGAAATGTAATTTCTATGAGAATGAGGATCTTGCCTATTTTATTTACTGCTTTCCAGTACCAGTACAGTATGTGAGCTGTATAATATAGACATTTAAGCACTGGCTGAATATAAAAATGTGTTGTAATTTACATACAAATGAATATATTTTCCTATAGTAACTCCCTTTTGGTGTGTATGTAACACCTTAATTTCTTTATTAGATTGTTTTAACTTATTTCCTTTGTATGTTGCATTTGGGATACATGCTTTCACGACCCACAGCTGTCAGTTGAAGATAGTCAGAGTAAAGCAGTGTGAATCCTGCTGGTGGGAAATCACCTACATGTTCTCTTTCTGAATAAAAGCACTTTTTAGCTATATAAATGTTTATTTTGCAATATGAGACGCATGCATGCATCTTAAAAGATAATGTCTTAATCACTTGTGTTTTTTTTTTGTTTTTTGTTTTTTAATTTTTTTCCAGATTTATTTATTTTTTGGGACAGAGAGACAGAGCATGAATGGGGGAGGGGCAGAGAGAGAGGGGAGAACTGACAGAATCAGAAACGGGCTCCAGGCTCTGAGCCATCAGCCAGAGCCTGATCACGAACTCGAACTCACGGACGCGAATCGTGACCTGGCTGAAATCGAACGGCGCAACTTAATTTCTGCGCCGCAAGCGCCCTCCGCATTTGTGTTTAAAACTTCAAGGAATATGATGTGCTTGTCACAGTTCTCTTTGTTTTATTGAAATAAGTGCACATAAGGATAATACTGATTGATGGGTGTTTTATTTTAGTTGGTTTAGAAAACAAACTCTGAACATCTTGTGGAAAGAGAAACAGATCATCCTGTAAAATATGAATTAGAGGAAATGCTTTCTTAAATTTACAAAATGAATTTATCACCACACTGCTACTTTTCCCATTTTGCAGGTAAGACTTTCTATCTGTGACATTTGTTTAGTGAATGGTTTAATAGTGAATAAATTAATACAGACTAAAAAGTAGCAATTTAATTTTTTTTAATTTTATTTAAGTTGTTTTAACTGATAAAATTTTGCAGGTAAGACTTTTTTTTCTATCTGTGACATTTTGTTTAGTGAATGGTTTAACTAGTGAATAAATTAATACAGACTAAAAAGTAGCAATTTAATTTTTTTTTAATTTTATTCAGTTTGATAATTGTTTTTAACTGATAAGAGCAGGTAAGACTTTTTCTATCTGTGACATTTGTTTAGTGAATGGTTTAATAGTGAATAGATAATACAAGATTAAAAAGTAGCAATTTTAATTTTTTTAAATTTTATTTAAGTTTGATATTTAATTTTTTTAACTGATAAATTATTTATAATTCATTTATAATTAATAACTGATCATTATTATTTATAATTGAAAAAAGTAGCATTATTTAGTATGAAAGAAATAAGGCTTAACGGAATGAATGCTGCTTTTATTCCAGTCTAAAACAAGTCAATATGTTTAGGTTGTAATAAAAGTTATTTTGTCAGTTTTTCAAGTTAAAAATTTAGAAAATAAAGCAATAAATTCATTTTTGTTCTCCTTAATTTAGTTAGAGTTAAACCTGGGGATCATGAGTGGGCTGGGAGTCTGTGAATCTTACGAAATTGTATGCAAAATTTTATAGTACACTTCTGTACTTTTTTTTTTCTAGTAGAGGCTTCACTGACTTCTATTCTGAAAAGAGATTGTTCTCCCCAGATGAAAAGAATGTTTTTAATATTTGTTCTTAATTACTTATTTAAATTAATGATTGTTTTTAATTTTTTAAAAAAATCTTTATTTTTTTGAGAGAGGAGACAGAGTGTGAGCAGGGGGGGAGGAGCAGAGGGGAGACACAGAATCCGAGAAATGGCTCCAGGCCTGAGCTATCAGCACAAGGAGCCTGATGTGGGGCTCGAACTCTGTGTATCTCGTCAGTCA